CAATCTCTGGTCTCTGACTCTTAGATTGCTGGAATTAGAGGAATGAGCCACAGCATCCAGTTATTTTATTTTTAATTAGTCTTATTTTAAAGTTAAATAATTACTGTAGCTATTGCTATCTTATTCAACAATACAACACTAGATCTTGAACTCACTCGTTAAGGAAAAACAGTAACCGACAGTATTAGAAATTGATACGATAAAAATAAGCCCTACACGCCAAGTATTATAGAAATTTAGGGGGCTGGGAAGGTGGCTCAGGGGTAGAGCGCTTGCCTTGCATGAGGCCCTGGGTTCGATTCCTCAGCACCACATAAGCAAAAAGAAAAATGCCAGAAGTGGCTCTGGCTCAAGTGGTGGAGTGCTAGCCTTGAGCTGAAGAGCTGAGGGACAGCGCCCAGGCCCAGAGTTCAGGCCCCACGACTGGATCCCACCCCCCTGCAAAAAAAGAAATTTAGGAGGCAGATGAGGGTTAGTATTAGATCCGAGAGCTATATCTATCTGTTAATGTGAGAAGAGAATGACAAATGATGCTAAGGGAAGAGAATAAATTCAAGGTCAGTGTTTATACACTTGTGCCTACCACTTGAGCCACAGCACCATTTTGGTGGTTAATTGGAGATAAAAGTCTCAGTGGGGTGCCGGTGGCTCACGCCTGTAATCCTACCTACTCAGGAGGGTGAGATCTGAAGATTATGGTTCAAAGCCAGCCTGAGCAGGAAGGTCCATGAGACTCATCTCCAATTAACCACCAGAAAACTGGAACTGGTGCTGTGGCTCAAGTGGTAGAGCGCTAGCCTTGAGCTGAAGAGCTAAGGGACAGTGCCCAGGCCCAGAGTTCAAGGCCCATGACCACCACCACCAACAAAAAAAAATAGCTTATCATCTTTATAATGAAGTTATAGGCAGAGGGATAAGTGAGTAATACATTTTAAAGTCCATGATAGTCAAACCTGTCCTGTGGCTATTACTCATGACTGACCTTATGTGATTATAAGGGTCTCCACATGCCATAACCATGGCTTTTCTGTACTCTAATAAAATACTTTAAAAGAACATCCCTAGGGAAAGTAGTCTAAAGGAAGTAAAACTTATATCAATGGAAGGGAGAGGAGAAGGAAGTGCATGTTGGTATGGACACAGCCTGAGGAAAGGAAAAGAGCTGTGAGTGGGAAGGACTGAGCAGTGAAGGGACACAGGGGATGGGGGCTGTAGAAGATGCCCCTGGCCAAGTCTCCATGGATGGCTGCAAGTGGCTGGAGTGTTAGACACCACCCCACCTGGTTTTCCTCAAGGAGGCAAATGTATGTATGGGGCACCGATCACTTGACAGGCATTGTGTTATTTTCTTTCTTTTCCCTGTTATATTTATTTATTTAAATATATATTTGTATTTTCTTTAGGTAATTGTATAACTGAGTTGCCTTTTAACAGAGCAGTTTATGAATACAGTGCCTCTTGATCAAAGTCACTCCTTTTAATATTCTCAGTCACCACTTCCACCCCATTCATTCCTTTATTTTTCTTAATTTTTAGGCTATATATTGAATTTTTGCCATTAAACAAAGCAATTTATGTATACAATGCATCTTGATCTGTGTCATCCATCAGATAGAATAACACTGAATCATTTGTAAGAAAATGGGAAGACTTGGAGAGGATTATGTTAAGTGAAATAAGCCAGACCCAGAGAAACACAGGTTGCATTGCTTCACTCATTAGTGGAAACTAGAATGTGCCTATAAATCTAGAAGTAAGCATAAGCACACTGTGTGGCACCCAAACAGTTATAAATGTATTAACTAAAGTATAATAGAAGCCAGGCACCAGTGGCTCACGCCTGTAATTCTAGTTACTTGAGGTGAGATCTGAGGTCCAAAGCCAGACTGGACAGAAAAATCCTTATGATACTCTTATCTCCAATTAACCATTCAAAACCCAGAAGTGGAGCTGTGGCTCAAAGTGGTAGATTGCTAGCCTTGAGCAAAAGAGCTCAGGGACAGCACCCAGGCCCTGAGTTCAAGCCCACAACCAACCAACTAACTAACAAATGAACTAACTAGCTAAATAAATAAATAAAGTATAATAGAATTTATAGAGAACATAAATAGTGTTATTTTCTTTCACTTGACAGGCTTTGTGTTATTTCTTCCTTCCTTCCTTCCTTCTGTCTGCCTGCCTGCCTCTGCCTTTCTTTCTTTCTTTCTTTCTTTCTTTCTTTCTTTCTTTCTTTCTTTCTTTCTTTCTTTCTTTCTTTCTTTCTTTCTTTCTCTCTCTCTCTTTTTCTTTCTCTCTCTTTCACTCTTTCTTTCTTTCTTTCCTTTCTTTCTTTCTTTCTTTCTTTCTCTCTCCGTCTCTGTCTGTCTCTCTCTTTCTCTCCCTCTCTCTTCCTTTTCTCTCTTTCTGTGCCAGTACTAGTGCTTGAACTCAGAGGGCCTGGGTTCTGTCCTTGAGCTTGTTTGCTCAAGGCCATCATTCTACTACTTCAGTTACACCTTCACTTCTGGCATTTTTGGTGGATAATTTGAGATGAGAGGCTTAAAGACTTTCCTGCCCAAGCTGTCTTCAATTTGCCATCCTCAGATCTTAGCCTCGAGTAAGCTAGGATTACAGGTGTGACCCACCATTTCAGGACTTGTGTTATTCTAGTGACTTCTCAGCACCTGAGTGGACAATAGATCCCCCACAAACAACAGTTGTCCCTTGATCACAGCACTCAGATCTGGCAATGACTTGTCATGAGAAAATGCTTTCATCAGCCTTTGAAGTGAGCTCAGGGCATACCTGAGTATAACTAGTACTTCCTGCTGACAGCCCAGACCACTCAGAAAACCACCACCAGGACAGGAATGTCTCCAGTTGCACTTCATTTCTGGTATCAACACAACAAGCTTTCTTAGTCTGGGATGATTGAGGTGACTCTTCCCTGAAATAAGTGTCTCTCTATGTTCTTGACTACAATGACAGTGCATGCTTCTCCTCCGAAGTTAGTTGGTCACCATCTGAAGTGGAAAGCACTTCCTTCTGTGTACACTCTACACCAGCATGCTGCTGGGTGGTGTTCTGGGCTATTCTGGGTCAGATGGGAAAGAGTAAAGAACCCTGCAGTCAGACTCATAAGGAATACATAGTCAACTGTTGCATCAGTATAAGCCAAATGAAATGCTCACATAGATCATGCTCTATTGCAGTTAACATGCAGTTAAGATTGCTACAGTTTAGATCTACAAAGGCTCATGTGTTGAAGACTAGTCCCTAGTTTATGGCTGTTCTCCTGAACTCTACCTTGTGAATAGCTAGTATTATAGTATTATAGGAATGGGCCCCCTGTGCTTGGCCTTAAGTGTTTATTTTTAAATTTGTGTCGTTCAGCATTTATAAGTATTCACAAAGTTGTGTAACCATCATAACTAACTAATCTCAAAACAGTTTCATCATCTCAGAAAGAAACCTTGTGCCCACTGGCAGTCACTTCCCATCCCACCCCAGCCTCTTCTGTACTTTCTGTTGATTGTCAGATATTTCCATTCTGGATACTTCGTATAAATGGAATTATGCACACTAGTTTTTTTTTTTAATGACTGGCTTCCTCCACTAGCGTAATGTTTTCAAGATTTATTCATATTCAAACATAAATCAGCCCTTCATTCCTTTTTTTTTTTTTAGGGTCTGGTTGTGGGGCCTGAACTCTGGGCCTGGGTGCTGTCCCTCAGCTCTTCAGCTCAAGGCTAGTGCTCTATCACTTGAGCCACAGCGCCACTTCCAGCTTTTTTCTTCTTGCTTATGTGGTGCTGGGGAATCGAACCCAGGGCCTCATGCATGCAAGGCAAATGCTCTACCACTGAGCCACCTTCCCAGCCCCTTCATTCCTTTTTATGATCATCTTAGCCACACATAAACATCCAGGGATTTTTTTTCTGTCACTTTTACCCTGTTTGCTGTAGAGGTGAGAGGTATGGGAACCAAATTCAGGGCAAGGAGTCTGTATGCTAGTAGAACCCCCAAATACTCCCAATATCCCCCGCTATTTTAGGTAAAAGAAGCAAGGTGCAAAGCTGTCAGGTCATATCCATTAACAAATGGTCCTAATGGATAAGCATGCCTAGCATACAATTCAGAGCAGCCTTAGCCCACTTTCAAGGAAGAAGCCCCAGCCCACTCTCTAGATGACCAGATGACCCAACCTTGCCTCACACAAAGCTAAGGCCCGGTGTCATCTGAGAAGTGCCATCTGCTGGGCCCTGTCCTACCGTGAGCTGCGGGAGCCTACTCTTAAATTATCAAGAGAAACTTATGAATTCCTCTCCCTTCAATCACCTTTCGTTATTGCTCACATCAAAGCCTTCTAGCTTTTAAAGCATTTCCTGCGATAGATACCCTGTGACTAATCCCAGGACAATTATTACTCTCTGATGTCTCCTGTATCACCATGTCAAGTTCATTCAATGTCAGGTTGCTAGCTGCAAAATATCTGATATTCCTAGAGTCCATGCCTCCCATTTCATACAAAGTACATCAGAATTGTCATGCATACCTGCAGAAGAATAAATTGAGGCCTTGGAAGGGCAAGAGACCAAGATTTGTTGGCAAGAGGTGACAGAACTGAGGTAAGGAGCTCTGGGTGGACATACATGGTAAACTAGCTGAATTGAACACTCCTTCCCAGAGAAAACAAGAGAAAAACTACAGCCAGCTCTCAATTGTCCAGATTTTGGAGTTTATATTTATACCCACCAAGCCTCGCCTTCTATAATTAGGTGAATTGTATCCAGACACAACCTATATCAACAGCAAAATACCTCTAAATGGTCAACTTGGTCCTCTCCATTCCAGAGTTCTTCAACACAAAGCTCATCATAAACTTAGAAATACAGAAAACACTTAATATATAGGAAGGTCCAAAAGAGAAGCAGGCCTTCTACCATGTTTAGAGTGTCAAGTATAAGGTTCAAGAAAGAGTGATAGCCCCTCCCAGCCTGTCACCCAACCATACTTCTTACCCTCCCTTCAAACTTGGCGGTGGCTCCTTCTTTGACACAGAGGTTCCGAGGGGGCAGAATGAAAGCAGGTGCCTCAGTCAGGGGCAAGGAGTTGACCCTCGAGGGATCCACACTGAGGGAGGTTTTGGACACATGTGAGGAGGCAACCAACTTCACGTCCCCCATGGCCTGCAAAAGGAAGGAAGAGAGGTGGATCAGATCTAACAAATACAAGCACCATCTTCTCTGCCAGTGTCTACTTGCCCAAGCTGGTGGATGGGATGGTCTGAAGGGGTGCAGGTGTCCAGTTAGATAAGTGTCCTCTCTGTGGCTTCTACAAACAGCTACCAGGTGAGGGAGAGCCTGTCCCAGACAGGCCCTGACCCTTTCTTCTTGGCGAGGGACACAAGGAGGGAAATGGCATGGCTCAGAGGTTTCACAACAGGAATCATGTGTAATAGTCATGGACCCTTCAGAATGGACTTGTGGCAGAGAGTCAAACTGCTTTCCTTGAACTGCAAGAGTTCATAGAAACAGAAGAAGGGGAGCTGAGCCCCAAGAACAGAAGGAACATGGGAAAAAGCTGTGAGTGAGGACATGAATGCTATCACAATAAAGAAATGTTGGCTGGAGGCATAGCTCAGTGGTAGAGTGGTAGAGTGGGAGGCTCTGAGTTCAAACCTCACTTCCACCTAAGGGGGGGGAGATGATAAATGTTTAAGGTGATGGGTATACTGTCGTGATCTGATCATGACATAATATATACAGGTGTAAAACCATCAAATTGCATCCTGTAAATATGTACAATCATATGTCAATCTAAAGTAAAATAATAAAGCCTTTTCAACAAATGGTACTAGGAAAACTGGATATCCACATGCAGAAACTGACACTGGATCCCTGTCAATCACCTTGTGCCAGTATCAATTTTAGAATAGATCAAAGACCTCAGTGTAACACCTGAAACCACTAACTATTACAGGAAAAAAATAGTAAATATATTAAGAATCTTCTGCACAGGCAGGAACTTTCTGAGTAAGGATGCAGTAGCACAGAAAATCAAAGAAAGAATTGATAAATGGGATTGGATAGAACTAAAGTTTCTGCAAGGCAAAGGACATAGTTAACAAGCTAAAAACACCACCTACAGAATGGGAGATCTTTGCTGGCTATACATCAAAGGCTTAATATCTAGAATATACATCAAGCTTAAGAAAATTAACTCTTAAAATCAACAACCCAATTAACAATGGGCAAATGAGCTAAGAAGATACTTCTCATAATTCTTTTCGCATACTTTTTCTTAAAGAGAGGAAGCCTTTAAGAACTCTGGTTTAAAATATTTCAACATATGGGTGTATGACTGTCCCCTTTGCTGACATCTTAACAGTTTTCTGTATCTTTGATAATAAACCCTACACTCAGACTATTTATGCTTAAATCTGTGGCTGAATTCTTTAGTGTTGACTTCAAAAGTGACCTTCAAAATCTGAGTTCTTGATTGCAATGAACAGAACCAGATTCTAGCTCTCATAAATGAAGAATGGATTTCTTGAAAGATGGTGGGAGTTGAGGAAGGAGTTAATGAGCCAAAATCCATAGAACATGATAGAGAAGCATTTTGAGAAAATAGGCTGCAGTTGATAAGCTAGGCAGCCAGACTCCAGTCAAGGTCATTGAATTCCTGGTAAATCACCTAGAATACATCCTAAGTATTCCAGTTCCAGGTTCCAAGACTAAGTGCAAGCCCTCACAAGCTGGAACATTCCAGGCTGGGAACCAGTCCACACCTCATGAAATCCCTGACACAGGACAGACATAGGACAAACAATGTCTGAACAGAAGAGACAAAAGACTCCATCTCAACTCATTTTCTTTGGATATTGGTCATCCTTAAGCTCCATGTTCTAAGTCTGAAAAGCTGACATGAAAGAAAAAGGTACCTGGGCATATAAGACGTTTGTTTAAATTTAATATCTAAGAAATGTAAGATAGGACTTGACTTTTGAAGTACAAGCTAAAGTAACAAAGTGGCTGGGTTTGTTTGGAACAGGGTACATCCCCTACATTCTCTTTCACTGATAAGGTATTGGCTTCACAAACAGAATTACTTTCCAGATGATAAGATGTGGGCAGCTGTAAAAGCAAACACTTAGGTCCCATTTACTATACCTGGAGAACTGTACTAAGCACTTCAGACATGATAAACAGCCTGTTTTTGCCTCATATACTATGCAAATGACAATTTATGCAACTGATAATCTCATCAACCATAGTCTAAAGACTAGCATGTGAGATGAAGAAATTTACCTAAGCATACACAGTAGGGAGCAGAACTGGCATCTGAACCAAAGGCCTCCTGCCTCCTGCAAGTGGGCTACTCAGAAGGGTTTCTGATGGCATAACAAGATAGAGATGAAAGGGGTTGAATTTGTAAACATGTACGGAGTTACATGTAAAATTAGGTTTTTCTATATATAAAAACTTAGCAAGCTGGGCACCAGTGGCTCATGCCTGTAATCCTTGTTCCTCAAGGATGAGATCTAAGGATCATGGTTCAAAGCCAGCCTGGGCAGCAAAAGTCTGTGAGACTCTTACCTCCAGTAAACCACCAGAAAACTGGAAGTGGTGCTGTGGCTCAAGTGTTAGAGTACTTTATTTAAGCTGAAGGGTTGAGGGACAGCACCCAGGCCCAGAGTTCAAGCCCCACAACCAAAACAAGCAAACAAAACAACAACAACAAAAAAAACTTACCAGCCAGGCACAGGTGGGTCACACCCGTAATCTTAGCTACTCAGGAGGCTAAGATCTGAGGATCATGGTTCAAAGCTAGCTTGAGCAGGAAATTCTGTGAGACTCTTTATCTCCAATAAACCACCGGAAAACCAGAAGTGGTGTTGTGGCTCTAGTGGTAGAGTGCTAGCCTTGAGCTGAAGAGCTGAGGGACAGTGCCAGAGTTCAAGCGCCACAACTAACAACAACGACAAAAAACCCACAAACAACAACAACAAAAAAAAAAACTTTACCATCAACATCAAAGATGGATTATAATCTAGGATAAAATATTTGAAATAAAAACAAGGACTAGCCAGATGCAGTAGTTCACACCTGTAACACTAACTACCTTGGAGTCAAAGATGAGGGATTGAGGTCCAAGGCCAGTTCAGACAAAAACAAGTTTGTGAGATTCCATCTCGTCCAATGCCTGAGTGCAGTGCTGCTCACCTGTTATCTCCAGAAACAAGGGGAAGCACAAGTGAGAGGATTGCAACCCCGGCCAGCTTGAATAAAGCAAGAGCCTTCCTCAGAAATGAGGCTGAACTGGGCATTAGTGGCCTAACTTGATTTTTAAAAAACACACCAAAAAAAAAAAAAAACCAAGGCTGGTGTTGTGCTAGAATGCCACCTTAGCAAGTGCAAGACCCTGAATTTAAACATGAAATAAATAGAAGGTAAAAAGGCACTGAAGGAGTGGCTTAAATGGTAGGGTATCTGACTTGCCAGCTCAAGTCCCTGAGTTTAATTCCTAGTAACAAACCTCACTGCAATAAATAAATTAATTAAACAATTTCTTAAAAAACATCAAAGGACAAGAATAGTTTGCCCTAGAATTGGCTCAAAGGACATGACTAGCACAATCCACTAAAGACACACAAAGAACCAGAAAACAAATGAACATTATCCAATCACCATAATAATCCAAGAGTGCACATGGATGTGTCAGATGGATGTGTGAAAGAGAAAGACATCATTCAGTGCTGTTGAGCCACGGTTGGCATGGGCTTACTCACAGATATACACATTGGTACACTCTTCCTGGAAGGGAATTTGGCAAAAAGATTCTGGGGGAAAAGTCTCATTTTTTTTCTCCTAGTAATTCTACATTCTTTTCCCAAGAATGTAATTCTTTTCCCAAGAATGTACAATTACATTCTTTTAGAATTTTATTTTTTAGGACTCTAAATTGATTTAAAATTTTCTTAGGGGGAAAAAACATTCTTGGGAAAGAATAAAAGAGGCAGCCCCAAAAGAATACTAAGTGAACCTGGGTACTGGTGGCTAATCTGGTGGTTGGGTACTAGCCAAGCTGAGATCTGAGGATCGTGGCTCAAAACCAACTCAGGCAGGAAAATCTGTGAGACTCTTATCTTCAATTAACCAGCAAAAATCTGGAAGTGGAGCTATGCTCAAGTGGTAGAGCACTAGCCTTGAGCAAAAATGCTCAGGGACAGTGCCTAGGCCCTGAGTTCAAACCCCAGAACCAGAGTACACACGTACACATACACCCACACATACACACACCACACACACTCGCAGATACCACACCACATCACACACACACACACACACAAACAAAACAAAAAACCAAAAACATTGCATTATTTATAGCAAAAGCTAGACTTAAAAAAAATCTTGTTAAATAGCCAGCAGTGAAAACCAGTCACTCACAGTGGAATATCAGGCCAGTATGTGAGTGAATATTTACAAGGAACATACTGAAATGAATTTAATTCTATAGAAATCTTAAATTCAGCTGGATGCCGGTGGCTCATGCCTGTAATCCTAGCTACTCAGGAGGCTGAGATCTGAGGATCACAGTTCAAAGCCAGCCTGGGCAAGGAAAATCCGTGGGACTCTTATCTCCAATAAACCACTAGGAAACCGGAAGTGGTGCTGTGGCTCAAGCAGTAGAGCGCTAGCCTTGAGCTGAAGAGCTGAGGGACAGTACCCAGGCCCAAAGTTCAAGCCCAGGACCAACCAAAAAAAAGGAAATCTTAAATTAAGAAGCACCACAATAGAGGAATTTCAAACATATAGAAAAATGAAATGAATAATCACCACCTAGATTCAACAATTTACCTTTTGTCTTTTTTTTCCTTTTTCTGTATTTTTTTCTTTTTTTTGGCACTGGTCCTGGTACTTGAACTCAGAGCCTGAGAGCTTGCACTCTACCACTTGAGCCACAGTTCCACTTTTGGCTGTTTTGGTGGTTAACTAGAGATAAGAATCTCATGTGGGGGCTGGGAAGGTGGCTCAGTGGTAGAGCGCTTGCCTTGCATGCCTAACACCCGGCATTCCATTCTTCAGCACCATATAAGCAAAAAGAAAAAAGCCAGAAGTGGAGCTGTGGCTCAAGTGGTAGAGCGCTAGCCTTGAGCTGAAGAGTTAAGGGACAGCGCCCAGGCCCA